GGCGGGGCGTGGCCTGCCCCGGGCTGCGCGCTGCCACCGTCTGCCGCGTCTCCTCGCCCCGCGCTCCTCCTCTCTCCGCGCGATCGTGACATCCTTACTGTCGTTACGGAAATGAGTTTGCGAGTGGCTGGCTGTAGCCGGCTGTAGCGGGGGCCGGGCCGGGTCGCCGAGGCGGCCCGCCGCCGACGGCTGCCGAGGGAGCCCCGGGAGCAGAGAGGAATCCTACTAACTGCAGGTTATGTGTCTGGCAGGAATGGAATAAACACTGGTTCGTGTTGCGGGGGGCGGCGCTCATGTACTATCGCGACCCGACGTCTGAGGACAAGGGCCTCCTCGACGGAGTCATCGACCTGAGTGCCATCAGCAGCATCGCGGAGGTGCAGGTCGCCAGGAACTACGGCTTTCAGATGATGGTGAGTAGCGCGGGGGCATTCGTGAGACTGTCTTTTTAGACAGTCCTTTGTGGCTGTCTCTACGCGAAGGCAAAAGTTTCCAGTTTTGATTTTGCGATTGACGCTCATAAAGATCTGTGTTTTTTTCTCTTTTTTTAAAGCACATGATACCTTTTAACACCTACACTAAACATTGTTCATGTATAAGTTTGACGTGTCAGCTTCTCAGTAATTTTTTACTTCCTCCTAAGATATGAAATTGAGGCACACCACTCTCCAATGTACACCATCTGCTTTTCCCCCTTGACGGAACTTTTTTTTTCTCACAACATCGACTTGCTTGCAGACCTGGGACGAGCGGCGGTACGTCCTCTCTGCGGTGACGGCGGGCATCCGCGCCAACTGGATGGCGGCTGTGCGACGGGCAGCGGGCCTGCCCTCCGCGCTGCCGACGCGGCTGCCCTCCACTCTGCCCTCCAGCCTGCCCGCCAGCCTGCCGTCCAGCCTGCCCTCCAGCCTGCCCTCGCAGGACATCACTCTCACCCTCGGGGAGAAACTGGAGCGCGAGCTCGACAGTAGCCACCAGTGAGTTGACCGTAGTCATCAGTCCCCCCCCCCCTCCCGTCTCCTCCGGTCCCTTCCGCGACGCCGTGGTTGGCAGCGGTGCACTACGAGCGTGACCGGGTGACGACGGGCACGGCCAGGCATGGCTCGGCGCGCCGCGGCGGCGTGGTGTGGCGGCGCGACCACGGCGACCACGTGACGAAACGCTAAGAGCCTCAACGAAAACTTACTTATATTACGCTGACCTCAATGCCGGCTGGCCGCGGCCGGCGCTCTGACGGCGGCCCGTGCCTGTAAGGACAGAAGCAGACTAGAGCGGCCCGTAATGGCGTTCAGCCCATGAAGTTTGACTGCTCTCAGTGCTCCCCCGCCTGCCAGCTCCTCCTCCCCGCCCCTCCTCGCTCTTTCTTACCAGTGCCGTGTTGCAGCCGCGCCGAGCGGGAGCGCGACCCGCACCCGCTGCCCCACGGCCCGGGGCGATCGCACGCCAACATCCTCTTCTCGTCGGATGACGAGTACAGGACGGCGTCGTCCGAGAGCTGCGGAGGCTGCGGCACGCCTCCGGGCCCGCGGACGGCGGAGACGACCCGGGAGAGCACCAGCGACTGGGGGGAGACGGTCACCCTGTCGCTGCCGCCCTCCCCGCCCCTCAACAGGACGCCCATCTCAAGAGTCAAGGAGCGCGCCAGGTACCTGGAGAGGCTCACCTACCACCGCACCACCACCCTGACCCCTGGTCCGCGTCGAGACCAGACCGAGAACCCGGTCCACAGCGACGTTTCTGACGCGATTCTCCGTTTCAGGTCGCGCGTATGCAAACGGTCAAGGTCTTCACCACCATCCTCACGGAGATCGACGCTTGACTCGGTGCGGACTGAGGACGTGGTGCTGGCGTGCTGCGGGGAGATGCCAGAGTCGGACGTCGAGGACCGGGTAAGGCATCACTGTTATTACTTGTATATTTTGCACTCCTAGCGTCAAGTACTAGTCACTATTTCTAACAACGTGGCCTCTTTCGCAGCTGTCCGTGGACACTCCGCCAGATCCGACACCGGCCACGTCGCGGCTGTCGTCGTTGACGTCCCTGTCCTCGCTGCAGGAGACGGCAGACCGGCAAAAGCGCGAGTTGGAAGACATGAAGGCACAGCTGAAGCTCGAGGCCCTGCGGTTGCGGCAGCGGGAGGCGGAGAGCGGGGCGCTGGACCGCCAAGTCAAGGACCTCCTGGGAACGCTGGAGCGCACCGAGGAGCAGCTCAAGCAGCGCACCAGGGAGGCGGCCAAGGTGACCGAGCAGGCCTCGGAGCTGGACGCGCTCAAGGACCGGTACGCGGCGCTGCTGCGGGAGCACGAGGCCCTGCTGGAGGAGTGGCGCAGCGTGGACCGGAGCCAGGACTGGCGCGGCCTCTACCAGCAGGCGCAGGACCGCTACCGCCACGACCAGGACGTGTGGCAGCAGCGGCTCGCGCACTCGGAGGGCGACCTGCGCGCCACGGCGGAGCGCGGGGAGGCGCTCGCCCGTGAACTTGAGGCCGCCAAGGCCTCGGTGGACGAGCTGCGCCAGCGGCTGGCCACCGGCCTCGAGGAGAACGAGAGCCTCTACGCGCGCCTGCACGAGCTGGAGGGCCGGAACACGGCGCTCGCCCTGTCCGCCTCCAGGGAGCGCGGCCGCAGCATGGACTCGCTGTCCGACCTCACCAACATCGACCTGGACCTGTGCTTCGACGAGCTCGACAAGGAGCGCGTCGTCGAGGAGTTCGAGGAGCTGCGCGGCCGCTTCGAGAAGGCGGTGCTCGAGATCCGCGCCATGAAGCGCGAGCTGCGCGAGTCCCACGCGCTCCACGACGAGCTGGAGCTGTCGACGCTGGCGCTGCGGCAGGAGGTGCGGCGCCGCGAGGAGGCCGAGCGCGCGCAGGCCAACCTCATGGCGGCGCGCGTCGAGGACCTCACCCTCAAGCTGACGGCGGCCGAGAAGCAGGTGCGGCTGCTCAAACAGAAGCTCACCAAGGCCGAGTCGCTCAAGGTGCGAGAGAAGCGGCGGTCGCTGTCGCTCAAGGGCCGCGAGTCGTTCCAGATTTGCCGCGAGCTCGAGGACAAGCTCGCCGAGCTGGAGTGCAAGTTGGCAGCGCTGGAGGGCACCGCGCCCACCACGCCATCGTCGCCGTCCTCGCCTTCGCCGACGCCCTCCCTGACTGGGTCCGTGGCGAGCTCGAGCAGGAGTGCGGGCAGGACGGAGCGACGCCG